AATGTTTCACTCCCTTTGAAATAAAGGGACAAGTCTCAAACTATACAAGGCACTAGCCAGACCACAGCTGGAATACGGTGAGCATCTTTGGTCCCCTTACCTAAGGGGAGATGCTGGTATTGGAGACAGTCCAGAGAAGGTTCACTCGGTTGATCCTGGGTATAAGGGATTTTCTGTACTAATTGGAATTTAGAAGAATGAGAAGCAACCTTATTGAAACATACAAGATTCTTGGGGTGGGCTTGATGGTGTAGATGTGGAGGGGCTGATTTTCCTTCTTGGAAAGTCTAGGACCAGAGGGCATAATTTCATTTAAGACAGAGGTAAGGAGGATTCCTCCCCCCGTCTCCCTGAGGGCAGTGCATCGCATCGCATCACTGGAATTCTTTACTGCAGAGGGCTGTGGAGACTAGGTTGAAATGGGTATTCAAGATTGAGATAGACAGATTTCTAATCATAGGGGAATCAAGGGTTATGGGGATAAGACAGGAAAGTGGAGTTAAGGATTGCTGAGCAGACCTGATGGATCTAATAGCCAACTTCTGTTCCTATGACTTATGGTTTAAAGGCTGTTTTATAGCAAGATTGCAAATTAGCCCATCAAGTCTGTTTTACATTGACAGGTAGTCCCCACGTGATGAACAGGTTCTGTTTCAGAGTATGTTTGTAAGTTGATTTGCATGCAAGTCAAACACAACAGTACAACATAAAATATCTGTTTCTAAGCACAAGTGAATGTTTGCATTCACATTCCTTAAAATTAAATTGTAACATGGAATCTCATTGATAAAAACAAGCATTTTTAATTCAGGAACCCTCAGTGTCTATGTTGTATTGACTACCACGACGTTTAACTTTTTATTTGAAGTATCATTTTCCTTTCGATTCATGTTTAACCTGCATTGGTTCTGCTATGTGCCAAAAGTGAAAGCTACAAGTAGTAAGATCTTGCTGGTATGTACTATCAGCAGTGAGTTTTTACTTAGCTCCGCATTTAATACAACTGGAGGTTACGTACTCATGTCTTCAGTTTGTTTCGTTGACAACAGTTGATGCTGATAAGAATCTCTTCAAAGACAGAATCATAGAATTTTACAGTACACAAGGAGGGCATTTGACGCATTGTGTCCGTACCACCTCCTAAAAGAGCTACTCTGCCAGTCCCACTCTCCATCCCTATCTCCGTGGCCCTCTTAACTTCACCCCTTTCAAATATATATCTAGCTCCCTTTTGAAACCTCCTATGGAATTCCTCCACCACTCTCCAGGCAGCACATTCCCAATCCTAACAACATAGTAAGAAAGTTTCTCTACAACTCACTCCTAGCTCTCTTTGCTGACAGTCTTGAAGTTGTGATCCCTAGTTACTGACATACTAACCAGTGGAAATGGAATATCCTTTTTTCCACCCTGTCAAATGTGTTCATGATTTTGAAAACCTCAATAAAAGGTCATCTCTTAAATCTTCTCTGCTCCAAGGAGAACAAGCCCAATCTAATCTTCCCTTATATTGAAAATCCTTCATTTTGGTAAATCTCCATTGCACCGTCTCCAGCACTTTAACACCTTTCCTTAAATAATGTGCCCAGAACTAAACAATCAACACCAAACGTGGTCTGAACAATTATTTCTGGACGTGTAGTATCAGTACCTTGCTGTTATACTCTGCGCTTCTATTTATAATCCCAAGGATCCTGTAAGCCTTCTTAACAACTGTTTCAACTTAGCTGGCCACCTACAGAGAATCATGCACGTGAACTCAGAGGTCCCTTTGCTCCTGCCCTCCTGTCAAAGTTGTATACTAAGCCTGTATTGTCGCTTCATAATTCCTCTACCAAAATGCATTAGCTCATATTTTTCTGCATTGAATTTCATCTGCCAAGTGTCTATCCATTCGCCAACTTGTCAATGCCCCTCTGAAGCCATTCAGCATCATCCTCAATTTATTATTGTCACTAGCTTAGTATCATATCGAGTAATTGAGTCGTACAGCATGGAAACAGACCCTTCATTCCAACTAATTCATGCTGACCATGTTCCCAAACTAAACTGATCCCATCTGCCTGCACTTGGTTCACATCCCTCTAAACCTTTCCTATTCATGTACCTGTTTAATTGTCTTTTAAACATTATACCTGTACCTGAATCTATCACTTCCTCTGGTAGTTCATTCCACACTGACCACTGTGCAAAAAAGTGTTGTCATTTTTAAATCTTCTTCCTCTCACCTCAAAATTATAGGGAGAAGACCTTTGCTATTCACCTTATTTACACCCCCTCATGATTTTATAAACTACTATAAAGGATGACCTTTCAACCGCTTATGCTCCGGTAACAAAAGTCCCAGCCTATTTTTATAACTCAAACCCTCCATTCCTGGCAACATCCTGGTAAATCTTTTCTGAACCCTCTCCAGTTTAATAATATTCTTCCTAAAACAGGGTATCAGAATTGCACACCATACTCCAGCAGAGGCCTCACCAATATCCTGTACAACCTCATATGACGTTCCAACTCCAACACTCAAAAGGTCTGAGCAACGAAGGCAAGAGTGCTAAATGCCTCTTTAACCACACGGTCTACATGGGACACAAATTTCAAAAAGAACTATGTACCTAAACCCCTAGGTCTCTCTACACTACCCAGGGCCCTATCATTAATTATATAAAGTCCTGCCTTTCTTTGTTTTACCAAAATGCAATACCTTGTATTTATCCAAATTAAACTCCACTTGCCACTTCTCAGCCCATTGACACAATTGGTCAAGATCCCTTTGTAATCTTTAGATAACCTTCTTCACTGTCCACTAGATCACTATTTTGGTGTCATCTGCAAACTTACTAACCATGCCTCATATGTACTCAGCCCTGTGAAACACCACTGGTCACAGGCCTCCAGACTAGAAAACAACCATCCACCACCCTCTGTCTCCATCTCAAAGCCAATCTGCATCCAATCTACTGCCTGCCCTCAGTTTTTTTGAGACAGTAACAAAGAGGATCAATCAAGTTTGAGACATGATTTCCTTCACACAAAACCATGCTGACTATCCCTAATCATTCCTTGCCTCAAAATCCTATCTTTCAGGATCACAAACAACTTACTCACCAATGTCCGACTAGTAGGTCTATAGTTCCCAGGCTTCTCCTTACAGCCTTTCTTAAATAAAGGTACATTAGCCACTCTTCAGTCCTCTGGCACCTCACACATCATTATAGATGATACAAATATTTCTGTTAGGGGCCCTGTAATTTCCTCCTTAACTTCCCACAATGTCCTGGGATCCACTTGATTGGGTCCCAGAGATTTATCCACCTTTATGTTTTTTAAGACCTCCAGCATTTCCTTTTCTGTAAGGTGAGCCGTTTTCATAACATCAATATTTATTTCCTAGAGTTCTCTAACCTCCATTTTTTTCCCCCAACAGTAAAATCTGACATGGAATATTCATTTACTATCTCTCCCATCTCCTGCGGTTCAACACAGCTAACCTCATTGATCTTTAAAGGGACCCGCTCTCTCTTTAATTGCTCTTATGCTCTTAATGTATTTGTAGAATCTTGGATTATCTTTAATGTTATCTGCCAAGGCTATCTCATATCCCCTCTTTGCCATCTTGATTTTGTTCTTAAGAATGCCCCTTTATGCTTTTTACATCGTCAAGAGATTCATTATATCCCAATTGTCCATATCTAATATGATTTTTTTTTTTATTCTTGACTAGAACCGGAATATCTTTATTCATCCATTACTCCCTAATCTTACCAGCCTTATCTTTCACTCTAAAAAGCAACACAATGTCCCTGAACTCTCATTATCATACTTTTGAAAGTCTCCCACTTGTCAGGTCATCCCATTGCCTGTGAACAGTCTACTTCAACCAACTTTTGAAAGTTCTTGTCACTTACCATTAAAAAATTGCCTCACTCCAATTAAGAACTTGAAGTTTTATGGAAGGCTTATTCATTTCCACAACTATTTTAAAACTAACACAATTATCATTAGTCTCAAAGCATTCCCTTATTAATACTTCAGTTACTTGCCCTGCCTTACTTCCGAGGAGATGGTCGAGTTTAGCTCCATCTCTAGTAGAACCATTTACATATTGATAAAGAAAATTTCCTTGAACACCAAATTTCTCACCATCCAAACCTTTACCACTATGGCAGTCCCAGTCAATGTTTGGAAAATTAAAATCCCCAAGCACAACCCTACTATTTTTACATATATCCAAGATCTCTCTACATAGTTGCTCCTCAATTTCCCTCCGACTATCGGGGGTCCTCTAGTACAATGCCATCAAGGTGGTCATCGCTTTCTTATTTCTGATTTCAACCCATATTTTCATTAGACAATCCCTTAGAAATATCCTCTCTAAATTACAGTAATGCTTAGCTTAATTAAAAACACCATTTCCTTCCTATCCTTCCTAAAATATCTAAAGTCCAGAACATTGAGTTGCCAGTCCTATCCATCCCTCAGCCAAAAATAAACCTAATTCCTTTTCACATTTATTGAATAGATGCATTTTCTGTTTCTACTTAAATATACATCAGTCTTAAAATCTGTCATTCTGAGTTTATTTGCTAATCTCTTGGAATGCTGTTTTTTCTTTATTAACAAACTTGGTATCAGCAGCAAATGACAATTTATTCTCCTTTAAAGTATTTACGTGAATTGTAAAATATTAACAGATGAGAAGCAGAACATTCTAGTTACTGCTCCCTTTCTATTTGTCATCACCTTCTGATCACTCCTAGCTAACTTGAAATAAATGTATTCTGAATCTTATTTTAAACACATGCTTGAAAATGATGAATAAATTGTTTCCTAAAAATTCAAAATCAAAACCTGTGTTCCACAATATTTTGGTTATCATTCCAAAGGAAGACATGACACTCTTATTAACCGTACAGCTTCTGTACTATGTAGATGAGCATTGATAACATTCCAAAAAGTGCTCTTAGTGGAAAAGATAAGTTTTAAAAAAAATGCAGCACCTGTATCAATGGAATGAAGTCCTCTTGCTCCAAGTAACTACATCCAGGCTTTGCCAGAAGATATAGGAATTTAGATGCATCATCATGGCAGTTTTGCAAGATCCTATAATTTATAAGACGACACACATTTATTTCCAATCCTTGGGGGCTTTCTAAATCACATTTCACACCACAGTCTAATGAAGTTATTCAGTTCACTTCCCAACGTGTGTGAAGAGAGGTCAATTAGACTAGTGAGTTTCTTCTGCCATAGTTCATTCTTAGGTATGAAGTTTTTAAAAATAGAAAAACAGGAGCTCTAGGAGGTGCAGTGGTAGCATCCCTGTCACTGAACTAATAGTCTCAGATTCAAGTCTCACCTGCTCCTGAGGGATGTAATAATGTCTTTGTAAAAGGTTGATTACAAAATACCTAGAACTCAAAAACCTTCACCCTTACCCTAGACAATCAATAATAAAAAAAAATCTAAAGTATCAATCTACGATTGCAATCAGAATTATTGCACACCATTCCTTTGCATAGGATGTCTAATGCATCTTTCAATCTGCGGTTATTGTCTTAGTTTATTGGATTAAGGCCATAATGTGGTGTGGCACCAAACTCAAAAAACTAAGATAGTTGTGAACTTTATGCATAGTCACTTTGCTTAACCTGAAAAGGGCAGCTCACTAAAATGTTCAAGTAAAAAATACTGCAGATGCTGAAAATCTGAAATGAAAATACGAAGTGCTGGAGAAAGTCAATTTTAGCAGTGTCTGTGGAGAGAGAAACAGAGTTCATATTTTGAGTCTGATTTGATTGTTTGAAGGGTCATATCAGACTTGAAACAACAAGTTTGTTTCCCTCTCCACATCACTGCCAGACCTGTTCAGTTTCCCCAGCACTTTCGTTTGATTGAAGTAAAATGGTCTGTTTAAGGAGTCCAAAAAAAAACCCATCATGTGTCATATTTGTCCATTCATAGACCAGATATGAAAAAAAATGTACAGGTGCATAAGGTTTAGCTAGGATGCAAATAAAACTGGTTGAATAGACTGATGATACTTGCTAAAAAGAGGGGCGTGGGAATGAATCTTGCTAACAGGTAATGAGGAACTGATGATGTTCAAGGAACACCTAGAAGGTGGAAGTATCTTATCTCATCACACCAGGGCATGATCCATCCATTCTTAATTAAGAAGCCCAAGTATTATAATTTAATCTGTGGCAGTAAAAGATCCAATGGTTACTAAAACCAACTGGAATTAGCAAGAGACAAGCAATATTAAGTCAGATTTGATATTTGGAAATCTTTCTGAACTAAATATTTTTGAAAATGGGGAGAAAGTAATTTACATACTTGCATACCAAGCATTTGGATAACACATGGCTTTTGGAGTTGACCAGATTGCCGGTCAAGTCTACTTGCTATTCTAGACATTCATGGCTGATTACTAAGCTTCAAGTCTACTTTACTGCATACTCTCCATTTTCCTCAAGTCCGCTAGCCCAAAAATCTTTTGTCAGCCTTAAATAGAGTCCACAAGTATATCCACAGCTGTGGCAGTAGGGAAATTCTAAAATGTCACAAATCTTTTGTGAAGAGATTTCTCCTCAGCCCTGAATGATCACCCCCTTATTAAAAGGCTTTGCCCTCAAAAGTTAGAATTTTTGAACTGTTTTTTTAAATCCAGGGTTTAAAGCATCAACAGTAAAAAGGTTTTTAAAAAAAAAGTTGCCAGTCTCAGAACCAACTGAACTTCTTTGCAGTTTTCATCTAAATAGTTTTGAATCAAAGGGTGCTTTGCTGCTGCAAATTTAGTCAATGGTACTCAGTGGACTCAATGAAAGGACTTTCAAAAGGATACCAGAAGACTCACTCTGGTTGAAGAGGAAGGAAGGAAGGATTCTGTTGGAAAGCAGCAAGGCTTTGAGGCTTTATTTACAAGGCTACCAATCTGCCACCTGTGGTGTAACGTACAGGCTTAGTATGAAGATTCTGCTGTGTCAATCACTTAAATGTTCCAAAAGTACCTTTTCTATGCTTAGCAAGCAACTAATACACTACTGTTTAACCTGTTCATTTTAGCTTATTTTTCTCGCAAAAGCCTTAAGCACAAGATCTTGTCATCAAATTATTTCCATAAATTGTTTAAAAGCATTGTCTTTAACAAGATTGGCTGGGGTTTCAATTCAGAGACTATTTGTCTAAAAGTTGAAAAAAAAAGCATTTTCAGAATTTTGCTAAATTTCAAAACACACAAGCTTCCAGTGGGAAAGACAAAATGACCAATTTTTTTGTTTTCTCATAGGACTTCAGTTTTGAAACTTTAGTTTCGAATAGGTAGTTCAGTATCTGTATTTAACAAGGTGGGTGGGAGAGGTTCATACTGTAAACTGTATCTGCTGCTGCACTACAAAACAAAAATTGTTGAAAATTGTTTTATAAAAAGCTATTTTTGTTTGTCTGACGTCCCTTGTATCAATTACAAATTTAAACAAAAAGTACAGAACTCACACCCCTCCAGCCCCACCAAATTTGTTCAAGTTTGAACAAAAGTTTGTTCACTAAAACAAAATAACAAATGAAGCAATATACAAGGAGAACAAAACGCTTACTTTCTCCACATTGCGATGAACTTGTGAACAGAGACATATCCTGTGCGTTCCCCACCAGATGCACAAAACAACAGGGCTTTCCAATACAGTGGGCAATCACACACCTTTCAAACAAATAATTAAACATTCATTAAAGCCAGAACTTTAATTTATAGAACAGAAATTTTGCTCTTGAAAAGTTGATTACAAGCAAAACAAATAGCAATGCAGTAAAGATAAAATAAAACAAGCTGTATTTAGCTGGCCAGACAGCACCCGTGAAAAATCAAACTTTGGCATTTTAAGTCTTGGGCAATTCCTGGCAAGTGGAAAAATATTACGATGAATAAGATTCAAATCAGAGCAGAACATGGAAAGGGGAAGGGAAGAAATCTAGAAGAAAACAGATCTGTGAAGTACTTGGTTGTTGTTTATATCGAAGCATTGACATTATCAATCGAATGAAGACATGAATTCAAATCCCACCACAACAGCTGGAAACTTGCATTCAGTTAAATAAATAAATAAATCCTGCAGTATAAAGCTAGTATCAATAATGCTGAACATTAAACTATTGGAATGTTATTAAAAACCTGATTCAGGGAAGGAAATTTGCTGTCCTTGCCCGGACTGGTCTGTGACTCCAGACCCACAGTAATGTAGTTGACTCTTAAGTACATTCTGAAAGGCCTAGCAGGTTACTCAGTTTTGTTAAAGGCAGCATTCAGCCACCATCTTCTCAGGGACATTTAGAAATTGACAATAAATGCTGGCCTTGCAATTGATGCGGACACCCACAAATGAACTTGGGGAAAATAAATGGCCTGTTTTTGAACAGTACATTAGTCATATGACAGCACTTGTATTGCACACAAAACTCCCGTCACTGGATCAAGCCTCCCCTTGATAGCATTAATGCTATCTGCTTCAAAACACTCGAGGCTCCATTTCTCCTAAACTCTATTTTGATCTGTGTAGTGGCCTTCTTGCAATTTTATTCTGGGATGGAAAGAGATTCTCCAAATCTATTCTATCAAACTCTTTCATAATTGTAAAGATTTGTAACAGGCAGGGCACAAATAAACCCCCCACCCCCACTGACTCAACACTGAAGGAACAAACATTTGGAACTCACTTCCTAACAGCATTGGGGTATACTTGTACCAAGTAGACTTCAGGGATTCAAGGCGTTAGTTCATCACCATTTTCTAAAGGGTAATTATATACAGTCAATAAATGCTGGTCAACCAGTGAAACCAGATCCAGTGAATGCATTAAAAAAAAAAAATGCAGCTCTGGCTCCTTCAGTAACTCCCTCATTGCTACCATGTAAATTTCTTAACCTGTTGCTGCTCTTCCAATTACAGAATGGTTCGCTCTCACATTTGCTGATGCTTAGGCTCATGAGTTTTTTTTTAAAAAACAGGCTACGGAGTGAGCCTAATAGGTACATTTAGTCAATCTAGTTAGATGCTTAAATCTTTTTTCACTCTTCCTCAATAGTCTGCTTATAGTACGGAGGTCAAAACTGTATGCATTATTCCAAATGCTGTTTAATCCTCGTTAAATTTATATTGAACATTACTTTCTTTTATTCCCTTAAGATTCAATTTCAGTACTTTGTTTGCACTCTTTGAAACATTAATTTTTTAAATGAAACAACAGAAGGTATGAAACTGTGGGCCCAAATATTTTTGGGCTTATTGCTTGCCATTTCAATTCTTGGTCCCATTCTCTCCCTGACCTCTCTGCCTTTGGCCTTCTACATTATTCCAGTAAAGCTCAACATAAGCTTGAGGAACAGTTTCTCAGTTTTCTACTTGGCATGTTGCAGCCCTCTATCCTTTAGACTGACTTCAACAACTTTAGATCCTTCAAATCCAATTTTCTCTCTAGCAGTGTGGGATAAACATATTCAAATTTCTGGAGACGACAGAGAAATTAGTTGCTACTTGGACCCTGGGCTGCCAAAGATCTTTTATGTGGGAATGCCAAGATCTTCATGTTAAGGTAACTAAGTCAGCTGTTAATTGTGTTGTGCTGCTCTGCCATGTTCTGAACATACTAAAGCTTCTACCTCTATTAAATCCCAAACAGCTCTTATGAGGGACATTTTAAGTCCAACATCTCTCACTTTAGGCATTGGAGTTATGATTGCAGCTAACGTTATTACGGGAGAAGTCAGATCTCAGACTGAAATCTGGCTTCATATATCATCATTTTTGGTTTTAACAAGGTGATGTCACTGAAACATAAACCCAAATCTGTAGCATTGTGTGCATAATTTACTTTGCATAATAAACTGTTAAAAAATATAATAATTCAGACTATTTACATAACATGTTTAAAGATTTCAAAACACAAGATAGTAAGCAAATAATCCCAACAGCATCCAGTTTCCCTTCTCAGAGAGGATGCCTTTCTCTACCCCATAAAGGGATGGAATTAATTTCAAAACTTGGTTGAGAGCATCTGATAGCTTCTTCCTTGATTCATCATATACGGAGCTTAAGTTTTTTCAGCTTCAAATAACCTACTTCAGAGTTTTAACCAAACACTTCTGGTCTGGAACATGTTATCTAAATTCGTTAAACCAAGATAATCTACCTTAAAAAAAATTCTAAATTATCGATCCTCTTTCTCAGCAGCAAAATATCAATTTTTAGCTAAGGACCCTGCAGGACTGCCTGACTGAAACAAAAAGAAAAAAAGAGAAAAAAGAGAGAGAGAAAAAAAAAGAAAGAAAGAGAGAGAAAAAAAAGAGAGAGAGAAAAAAAAAAGAGAAAAAAGAGAAAAAAAGAGAGAAAAAAAGAGACTTTAGTTTTTCTAGCTATGGCCTTTTCTCCAAGCCCAAAAGATAATTCTAGAATTTCCTACCTGAAGGCTTAATGTATTACAGTGTTATATTGTTCACTTAAACTCAATTTTAAAAAAAAGTTCCATTAACCTCCAAAATTACCTCTGTCGGACCATCTTTTAAAAGAATCACCGTAGCTGCAGAGATACTTCTACGTCAATCATCAACTTCATACAGACACAGAAAACTCATATGTCACTAGTTTAAGTTCAAATTCAAACATCTAAACTTAAACTATATTATTTTTATTCACGAGATGTGGGCATTGCTGGAGGGGCCAGCATTTATTGCTCACCCCTTTGCCCTTGAAAAGTAGTGAGCTGCATTCATAATCTACTACAGTTCATCTGGCATAGATAGACCCACAATGTCATTAGGGAGGGCATTCCAGGATCTTGATCGATATATTTGCAAGGAGTGTCTAATGGTAATAACACTAGACCAATGATCCAGAACCCCAGTCACTCTCCCCCCTTGCCTGAATTTCAGCACTTTTGTCCCTATTAGAACAAAGGTCATAATGAGGTCAGGAGCTTGGATGAACCCAAACTGAGTATCAGCGAGCAGGTTGCAAAATAACACTGTCGATGGATACCTTCCACCACTTTCCAATTCTGAAGTGTACACTGATGAAGCCACTCTCTCCAACACCGATGCTCAGTAGCAACAAGTGTGTACTATCTACAAGATAGAATTTCTTTTGACACTTGCTTCCAAAAGATCTGATTTGGGTGAAAAATATTATTCAGTGAATGTAGATTTTCTTTGTTGCAAATGCGGTTTCTTTGTTTGCTTTTTGCTATTCCTGCTGTCCAAAACAAAAATACTGTTAACTCCTTGAACACTTGCCAGCACTACAGAAATTCAAATATCCTCAGACAGCACCTTACAAACCCATGACCACTTCCATCCAGAAGGATAGAAGCTACAGCAACTCGGAAATATAATTGCCTGTTCCTTCACCGTCACTGGGTCAAAATCCTGGAACTCCCTCCTTAACAGCATTGTAGGTCAACCCACAGTAGGTAGACCACAACTCACCACCAACCTGCTCAAGGGCAACTAGGGACTGGCAATAAATGCTACCGAGTGCTACCCACATCCCACAAGTGAATAAAATACATAATTGGCTGGGTTGGGTATGCCCTGCATTTTGTGGGGCTCTTGTGGTACAATGACTGCAGCTTCACCTCTGAGCTGGGAGACACAGGTTCAAGTTTCACCTGCTCCAGTGATGTATAAAACATATCTGAACAGGTTAAATTAGAAAACATTTTGTATCTACAAGACATACCTGGGCAATTTTCCACATTGTCAGCTAGATGGCAATGTTGCAGCTATACTAGAACAGCTTGGCTAGGGGAGCAACAAGTTCTGGGCACATTTTTCAGTATTTTTGCTGGCATGTTGTCAGGACTCAGACTTTGCAGTATCCATGCCTCTAGCCATTTCCTGATTTTGCATGGAGTGAATGGAATTGGCTGACTACTGGCACCTGTGAAGCTGGAGAGTCTTTTAGCTGAAGATTGTTGCAAATGCCTTACCTTTTGCACCGATATGCTTGGCTCCCCCATTACTGAAGAAGATGGGGATATCTGTGGACCCTCCACCTCCAGTGAGGGCTGTTTAACTGTCCATCATTCCCAACTGGATTTAAAAAAAAATAAATTCACAAGTGAGGGCATCACTGGCTAGGCTAGCATTTATTGCCCATTCCTGATTGCCCAAATGACAATTAAGAGTTAACAACATTGCAGTAGGTCCACAGCCACAGATAGGCCAGACCAGGTAAGGGTGGCAATTTCCTTCTCTAAAGGACAAGAGTGAACCAAATGGGTTTTCCAACAATCTGGCAACAAATTCATGCATTCATCATCAGATTCTTAATTCCAGACTTTTGTTGATCGAATTCAAATTCCACCATCTGCTGTGGCAGGATTTGAACTCAGGTCCTCAGAACATTACCTAGGTCTCCGGATTAAGAGTCAACGATAATACCATTAAGCAGTTGCCGCCTTCCCCCACCCCTAAAGAGACACAGAAAACCACAACTACAGAGCTTAGATCTGATGTGCTGGTTGTGGATTCACTTAGCCCCATTATTTGCTGCTTATGTCACAGTCCATATTTGTAACACCATAAGATTGATCTCATTTTTAGGTATGTCTGGTGCTCTCTTCACTCCTCGTTGATAAACGTTATAACATTTATCATTCTATATCACAGATTAAAATGTACTTAAACATTACATGCTCAATTAACATTGCA